TCATATGAAGAGAAATCTTCGTCACGAAGAATGGGCGGAGCGAAGATTTCTCTTCATATGATCTTACTGACTTAGAACAGAACCTCAGCCAATCAAATGAATGGATTAAAAATAAACTCCTCCCACGGCTGTGTCATATATAAGGCTCAACTTGACCGCTCGTTGTACATATCGAGCACGCAAACAATATCGAACACACGCGGTTTCAGAATGTACTCCCAACCTATTCAGGTTAGCACGGGATTTTATGAAATAGCTTGCATCAGGCACGTAGCAACAGGGTGGGTGGGGGTTGGTTGGTTCCAGACATAACTTTTACTATCGAAAATGTTCATTGAAAGGCTGACCCCCCCCCCCCTTGCCACTTTTTACTACAGTATATGAATATGAAGGTAATGTAGTTTTGTACGGGGTTAAATGGAACTGGAAGAAATTGGTATTGAAAAAAACGATGCCATGTAAGTGATTAACTGGGGAAATGGTATGGGGAAGATATTAAAGCTACTGAACTAATTAATATCCTTGTAACAAGATTCTATATTTTTGAAAAATGATTGTGTTAAGATGACTAGACCCTATTCAGCAGGATTGGGTATCGCTGTCTAGGGTCAAATAAAAATTTGATGAAAATTGTGACTTAAATCTGTATTCGAAGACAAGGTTCATCTCTTATATACATGACGATGGTTGTATTTTCTGTATGTACCGAAATGTGAAAAAAAATAATATTCAGAAAGGCGGCAAAAGATTACATTGGAAAAAAAGTGTAGCAAGGCCTAGAAAGTTTAAATATCATTGTAAACAGCACGTGGCTTTGAATATTTTCTTTTTGTGTGCTAAACAAAAAACAATGAAGACACACCCATATAACTGTCAACTGAACCAATCAGACACCGTTAAATATACTCTTCAAAAAAAGAAACGCATCGTGGAATTTTAGTGACACATTGAACATAAAGATTATTTAGTAAAATAATGTATTGATAAAACAGAAATGTGGTAAGCAACAGGAATACTATCTAAATGTCATAATTACTCAACACTTTTAAAATTATAGCCAGTTTAAGACCATTAAAGATCAATATCTGGTATGCCCCCCCCGCAGACAAAAATGACAGCCACAAACGGCATCTAATGGAAGCAAATGTGTGTAATAAAAACTGCATAGGAATACTCTCCCACTCCAAATGTAGAACTTTAGTCAGCTGTTGCAGAGTCTGGGGATGCGATTGTCTTCGGCAAATCATGTAAATCCATTTTGTCCAATGCTGCTTGACTTGGATTAAATCTAGAGATTTAGATGACTGTGACTGAAACATGTTGTTGTTTCTTTGCAAGAATAGGTGTGTCAAATGAGCCATATGTGGCTGTGTATTGTGAGATTACATTACGGCTCTAGGATGCTGCAAAATTGAATGGGTGTGTGTAGGTAGAACATGGTTAGAGTACCTTTTTCCATCAAAGTCCATTGAATTCGAACCAAATCAATCTTACTTTCTTATACTACCATTTTCCATATCATTACACTACCACCACCAGCTTTTTTAATGTCCTGGAGGCAGTTATCTATCCAACCTTCATTAAAAAGCATTAGCACTCTTAAGCTTATAAGAGGCTTTCAGATAAACATTCTGGACTAGTAGGTTAACCAAAATGTTCAGCAGTGATGCTGTGGTCATACTCTATTCATCTGAGATCTTTGAAGTCGATATTTGGCGTGTTGTGGGGTCGGAACAACGGCATGAATAATCCTTTTGCAATAATTCGTAGTCAACTGAAAACGGTCTTGTTAGGTGATCTGTGCAGTTAAGGGATAGCTAATGCTTTAGATGACGTCCTTGCATTACGTTCATGCAATTTGCGTAATCCTCGGAGGTGATGCTGTGCTGCTGATGTCACACATAGTCTACCATATTTTTTGCGAACATTGGGTGTTCGATGTTAATGGTTTATGTTTTATAGGTTAGATATGGTCTATGTGTAACATTAAAACCTCTTGCAACTGTAGATTGCGGTACCCCTGCTTCCAGTCGCCCATTTTCCTTTTTGTGCCACGCAACATTCAGATGCAACAATTTAAGGATGCGTCATTTTTCAGATAAAACCAAATTCAAAATATCGAGAACCCCCGCTTTTGATAGCCCCTTTATACCTGAAGGAATTGCATCGTAATGCAACAAATGAAAATTGAGATCAAAATTTTGGGAAAAATTTTGCAAAATCAGGTCTCTTTGTCTGTGAGACTTGTAGAATAGCTGTAAAGTTAACAATTGCATTAAAAAATCATTCATTTCACTCGAATACATCGTATTCATACAAAAACAAAAGGTATGACAAAACTATCAAAAATTTTTAGGGCATTGTTCCTACTATGCGTTTCTTTTTTTGAAGAGTATATTTCAGAAACAGAAGAATTCTTCACCATGAAGAATCGATTCTTGGCGAGAAATAGAAGCATTTGATTGGCTGAATAAGTAGGTTATGTTCTAACGGTGAATACAATTGCCAGGTGGATTCCCTTGCCAACACACGTGATCACGAGTATACATGTATAGTTATGTAAAAAATGTTTTGTCCATTTAAACGCATAGGAGAAGCTGCTCGTTTTCCTTATCCTTGAATTGCTGGTGTTCTGAACTTGACACGAACTACGTATACATTTTATTAAGCATACTTTTCTCTATAGTTATTAACAAATTAAAAACGCCAGTGATATTATTAATAGTTTCTAATGTTTCATAGGAACATTTTATTTTACTTTGCACTCCATTGATATGATCATAGATTGACCTGAACCACGTGTTCGAAGTAACATGTATTTGGCGTTGCTCGTGGTAAGATCCTCTGTGCGCATTAATAGCGATAGCCATATAAGGCAAACAAAGGTTTGTCAGTGTAAATGATATTATACATTTTTTACACGCATCTCGGTCGCTAGTGAGCTGTAATTTTTGCAGTTAAGTATAAGATGTATTAATTGTTATTTACCACCCCCCCCCCCCCTTAAGCCATCCATTTGTTGAAAATCACGAAAGTCTTTCAGAAAGGTGTGCAAACACACATTTTTCACAGGACATGTTTCAGAAGAAACAGACTATAGCAATTCCCTGTTTACTGCCAATTTTATTTATAAAACCGGATCTACCCTATAACCTTTGAATAGGTAAATCTAAACCACGTGTCTTGAATTTAAATCACAATAACATTAGTAGGGGTGAAAATGTTAAGAAAGTGTAAAAAGGCGAAAATAACACGGGGCGAAAATAACACAGGGCGAAAAAAACACTGTCTACAGTAATCTCACTCTGTAGGTACAATAGTATTAGAAACTTTGGTAAGACATTTCAAAATATAGTTTTATAACATTGACATTGCATTTTCAGCAATATTTTATAATGAAAGGGAAATAACTCTTGCTTAATATTTCCGCCAAGAGGTACAGCGAAATCTTGCTATTTAAATCTTACCAACGCGTCAAACGAAATCCTTAATTGAAGGTCGTATGTAGTTTGTACTTTATTGGACTCTTCCCTGGAGTTGAAGAGTTCCACTAAATGAAGGACACGTGTGCAAGACTTTTTTTTAAAAAATGTGTATAGATTTGTACACGTCTTCTAAAGCAAATTTTTATGAAAAAAAAATCTGTAATTAACGTTTCGTAATTTTTTTATATTTTTCTTTGAATGATGCAAAAAATTTTACCCCATGGTAATGTCATCGTCTCAAGCCACGGTCCGGAGTCCGCATAAGTAGCTCTCTCCTACCATCGTCTCAAGCCACGGTCCGGAGTCCGCATATGTAGCTCTCTCCTAGAATGAGAGAGAATCTTACATTTTGGCCGTGGTTGGCGACGATGTGGTAATGTATGCTGATTTTTTTTTGTCTATGAATATCTGATGGCACTATAATCTTAAATCAAAAATATCTTGAAAATATATCAGTAGGTATAAGGTACCTTGCGTATGTTATTTAAGTATACGGATGAAAAATCATATGGGTTTCCTAATCATTTGTTAATTAACCTAACAACATTTGGGGATCTTAATTGCAGATCAGATCGACACTCGTGGACATGGGAGATATGAGGCTACAACAACAAATTAATCAAAAGAAGGGGGGGGGCTATATAAAAAATTAAGAGATGTTTGTATTGTTATCGTATAAAATTACTAAAATCGGATCTTCGTGTCACTGCAGAGTAGCTCGATACATAGATATGGGAGATTCGAACCTAAAACAATTAATAAGGAGGAGGGGCGGATGGGGGGGGGGGGGAGGTTGCAGACGCTGTATGAAACAATTCTACAATAAAATAACCTACAGCAAGATAATGTGCTTGTTTATAATTAGTAAAAGCGGAGAATGTGTACATAATACTTATTATAAACCTTAATTGCCTTAAAAATGTTCAGAAATCCTTTTCATAAAGTTTAAACTACACGTTCTAAATGGGTGAAAAAAAAAATATATAAATTTTTTTTTAATCTGACGAATCTTGGGATAACAATATTCCTTTATCATTTAATTTTATTGTTTCTAAACAAATATTTTTTTTTTAAATCTGACGAATCTTGGGATAACAATATTCCTTTATCATTTAATTTTATTGTTTCTAAATAAATATTTAATAAATAAATAAATATTAAAATGAAGAAATGATTTTAAAAAAAAAAAAGAATGATAAAAGGCAACAAAATTAAACAAAAAAGGAAAGCATTAAGAATACGAGGAATATTTTTATATTAAATGGCTAAGTGCATGTGATAAAAAAAAATGTAGGATGTATTTTAGTGTAATACAAAATTTTTAAAGCATTCTTCATAAATCTCCAGGATAAAAGCGTTATTCTAGAGTAAAAAAATGTATAGCAATAAGAATAATTTCAAATGAACAAATAATGAAATCTCGCTAATATTTTACTTCCGGAAACAAAGTATCTTGCGCGGGATATTTTAGATTTTATATTGCGGTTCCTTAGTTACCACAGTCGTAGGTCTAAAATGGCGAGTCAAGAGCCAAGAAGCCTATTTGATAGGGGTTCCCTATCTTTTCTCTGCTTCGAGGACGCATTCCCACAACTGGCGTGGGAGCGTGAAAGGGAAAGAAAGAGGGTAAGTTTTCTTTCATGTATATTATTACCTTTATATCACTATTCGTTCATACTCTGTTCATATTTGTTCAAACCACAGGGGCATCTTATCCACTCTGTTCTCTACTTCACATATAAAAATACACAAGGGAAGAATCGAAAGTAGCACACGATTTTTAAAAAAAGTCAAAAAACAACTTACTTGAGAAAAGTTACACAAATCCTGAAAGGAACTAGCGCAAATAATGTCCTAGTACTTATCCAGGCTAAAATATTCCAGATATATCCATCGAAAATAGCTTTTATCCAACTAAAACCCCAGCTTTCTGCACAGTGTGAATCTCTACGCCCAAGAAAAGATAACTCACCCGGATGACAATAGGGTAGTGCCCGAAGTCTTCCAATGGCACTCGGAAGGCCTCGGGTACTACCCTATTGTCATCCGGGTAGTTATATTCACACTGTGCAGAAAGCTGGGGTTTTAGTTGGATAAAAGCTATTTTCGATGGATATATCTGGAATATTTTAGCCTGGATAAGTAATAGGACATCATTTGCGCTAGTTCATTTCAGGATTTGTGTAACTTTTCTCAAGTAAGTTGTTTTTTGACTTTTTTTAAAAATCGTGTGCTACTTTCGATTCTTCCCTTGTGTATTTTTATATGTGAAGTAGAGAACAGAGTGGATAAGATGCCCCTGTGTTCAAACTTTAAATCTATAGGGGCCTATATCAGTATCGTTGAAATCGTCTGTTTAATACATTGACATTCTTTTTGCCTTAATCATAGACGTATCTTGGGAGTATTATATACAGCATAAACAGTTCTAATAAGTTTAGCCACAGTTAATTCATATATATGTGGAACAAAATTTTATTGAGTGCTTGAGATTTCAATTTGGAGTTGAAAGAATCTAGTTACATAGCATACGACCCTCTTAACACGGGATGTAGCAGCACGCCAGCAGCTTCCTAGGCCTTCTTCTTTATGCTTAGCTACCTAATAATTTATAGAACTATCCTTCATATACGCATCAGCACCAGGTAGAAAGACAGACTCTGTCACAGAGATCAAATAGGGCCTAGATATAGTAGATAAAAAAAAACAAAAAAAAACAAAAAAAAAAAAAAAAAAAAAAAAAAAAAACAACAACAACAAAACTTGTTATGAAATTGCTTAAAATCTGATTAGCCTTTGTCAATGGTAAAACTAAAATTGCCTTTCATAAATCTGTCAAGCTACAGTGTAACTTTCCTTTTGTTTATTTAAGTATTTTATAGTAAATTGTTTTTAATGTCTTTTGCTACATGTGTATGAAGACTTCTCTATTTCTATTCATGTACTTGTAGCTTCAAAATGCCAAGATGTGTGCTGAACCAGGGAGTGCAAAGTTGTGTGCTGAACCAGGGAGTGCAAAGTTGTGTGCTGAACCAGGGAAGCTTCCAATTACTAACAAGATTAAACGTGTCACACAATGGTTGGCTCATCAAAACAGTAGTAAGCTTCTGTTTAATTTTTTACAACTGGACACTATTACAAAACCAAAATATGTTTGCTTATATTATCTAGAATTGAAACAAAAGAATAAATAAATTGAGATTTTTTCCTGTATTCTGATCAATAAGATTTCCTTTGCTGTGAAATGTCACAGAAAAATTCTTACACCATATATTCAATTAAAACAGTTTCCACCAGGAATTAAGAAAATCAAATAAATAAATTATTCACAATAATACCTGTATTAAATTACCAAGAAGGCTATAATTTACAACAAATTTTAGGGATTTTTATGCCCCTGTAAACGAAGTTTCGGGGGCATATAGTTTTTGTCGTGTCCGTCTGTCTGTCTGTCTCTATGTCTCTCTGTTTGTCTGTTTGTCTGCAAAAAATTTAACCTTGCCCATAACTTTTGATTTAGTGGAGCTATGACTTTCATATTTCATATGTGTATTCCTTGTGACATGACCTTTCTTTGGGTACCACCAAGTTTAACCTTTTGACCTTGACCTTGGAGTTTGACCCATTTTTACATGAAAATTTTAAAAATTTTACTTTGGCCATATCTTTTGAACAGTAAACCTCAGGACATTTATTCTTCACATATGTAATGATTGTTAAAAGACCTTTCACTGGATACCAACAACCTTGACCCTTTGACCTTGACCTTGTAGATTTCCGTACTTGTGAAAAAACTTTAACCTTGGCCATAACTTTTGAACGGTAGAGGATAGGGCTTTCATGCTTCATATATGTAATCCTTGTGAGAAGATACTTTATTGGATACCAAGAACTTTGACCCTTTGACCTTGACCTTTGAGATTGACCTACCTTTAGAAAGCAAACATTTACCATAACTTTTAAGAGTTAGAGCTAGTGCTTGCATACTTTACATATTTGATCCTTATGACAAGACCTTACATTTGATAACAGTAACTTTGACCCTTTGAACTTGACCTTGGAGTTTGACCTACTTTTTAAGAAATTGAACATTGACCATGACTTATGCTCTACATAAGTATTTTATGTGGCAAGACCTTTCATTTGATACTAATTACATTGACCTTTTGACCTTGACCTTGGAGATTTTTGTACTTATTACAAAACTTTAACATTAGCTTACTTTCAAATTTCACAATTGTTTTCCAGTGAGAATACCCTACTTTTGGTATCAATTAATTAAATTTGCATTTAAGAAAAGCTTAAGGCCAAACAAATAAATACCTTTGTTTACTGTTACGTGCTGAAATAAAATAGGGTCGGTAGGTAGGAATTTTTTTTTATTTTATTGAATTTTTTTATACACAAATTCACATGAATTGGTTGAATTACAAAACAGTTTTACCATTGTATGGTGCCTTTATACTTTTGTTTGGCTTCAAATATGGGTGGTTTCTTGCCAACTGTCTTACAACTCAGGGGTGTGCAATTAAAAAAGTCAAGTACTAGCCCACAGGCTTGTAACAGCAATAAAGGTACTAGCCCGAAGTTAAAAGTGAGCAGTCCAAATATAGGGGCAAGAAATTGTAAAAACAAATATTGTAAAAAAGTTCATTGTTGAGAAAGTCAGGGTCCTAAGCCATCCATTTTAAAGTTGAAGTTTAAAAATTTTAAGAAATTATATTATCTTTTCTTTTCTGAACATATTGTACTAGCAGTGTAGCTTATCTAAAATGAAACAAAATCATTTTATTTTCATTTCAAACCATTAAATACAATTGATATATATTAAAGTTTAACCACATAACACTTAGCTATTAGTTGATTGGGGGACCGTAAATAATGGAAAGAGATAGCTGCATGTATTTACTATTAACAGAGGAATGGAGGATATTCGGATTAGGAAAAAACCGATCGTTTTTTGAAGTAAATAAGTCAGGTAGTACTTCAAAATGGATAAGGTTAAAGTAATTTAAGAACAGTTAGGGCATGTTACCTGGAAAATTTTCATTAGTTGGAAATTAAACAGCAAAACAATGAGTGAAAATACAGTTTGTATTTCTCATGTATTATATGCATAATTTTTATTTTTACTACCCCAAAAACGGTAGCACCGGGCATCAGGCGATGCTAGTTGCACACCCCTGCAACTGCCACGCAATGGTAAGCAAATTGCAACGAACTCGTTGGTGTTGAAATTGCAACTCGCTGGTTTTGTTTTTGTACTTTCAATTTCGATTTCAAAGATGAATGTAAAAGTTAAACTGACCGGCCAGTAACTTCCGGATTTTTACGACGAAAAAAAAGTTTGGGTCGGCGATGAAAATTAGGGTCGGTCGGGTAACCGTAAACAAACATATTTTTTTGTTACGCCTAATCTTTGCTATGTTGCCATATGGGGGCATCAGTGTTTTACAAACACATTTTGTTGTATCTTAATATGTAACTTTTTGCTGATAGTCTTCAGTGATCTGACATTCCATGTTAATTAAAATGTTTACTTTCACAATCAAAGTATATGGATATGTAGTTTATGGGAATCACCCCTGTCTTTCTGACTGTTTTTCTGTCTGTCTGTGAAATTTTCTCTTGGTCGTATAAGGTTGGCATAAGTGATATGGAAAAAAAAAATGAAATTTGATGTAATTATGTACTTGATAGAGATACATGTATGACTTTAGAACAAGGTCATTCTAGCAAGTTAACACTGACAATTTTCTTGAGGCCATAAGTTTTTAATTTAGAATCAATGCAAGCACACACTTAGTGCAAAGATTGCTTATGACCTGGGTCTTTTCAAAGTTGTTAAGACATTAGTTCAATATGCAAACTGCCAAAAAAGTGTGATTAGCCTTCAATTTCAAGTAATTGAATGTATTTAAATACATTTTCATGTATTTTCAATTACTTTTCAATTACATTTCAATTACTTTTCTATAGGCTATAAATTTGATTTGAAATAATTTAAAAAAATCATTGTAACCCTAAACTTATAAATGCACAGATTCCCCAAAAGTTTTTTTAAGGTCATTCTGACAAGTTCAAGGTCACTGGCTAAAAAAAGTATAGTGTGGGATATAACTTTGAGATAAAAATCCTGGAATCTCATTTAGCTTTACTGGTCAGAGACCAGAAAAGCTTATGGGATGGTAAGTCTCTGTTTGTCAGTCTGTCAGTCTTTAAACTTTTCAAATGCTACTCCTCCTAGAGTTGTGGTCAAATTTCAATAGAACTTGGCACAAAGTAGAAAACACTGAATGGTTACTTAAAAAAGAAATTTCTGTGTAGAATTTTTTTTAAAAAATGGTACTCCTCCAACAGTTTTGGTCTGAATTCAAAATGACTTGACACATAAGTAGACTACATTTAAAAGATACATTACTAATTGCATTGTTTTTTAATTAAGTATTGCCATGGTAGATAAAAGTAGAATTTTTGTGAAATTCCTTTAAATTGCTATTCCTTCCATATTTGTCTGATTTCAATATAATTTGGCAAATAAGTAGACTAAACTAAGGTACATAATTTAGTGCATCAATTTTTGATTTTAATAAAATGTGTTGCCATGGTTACTTAAATAGAAATTTCTGTAAAATTACTTAAAATGCTTTTTTTCTGCATGTAGAGAAGAAAATTTTGAAAGAAATGATGCATTTTCACTGTATAATCAATAGAACACCAGACCACCTTCCTCTAGCCTCCAACAATACCCCTCCCCCCTGGAGCCACAAATTTCATAATGTTACCACATCCCAACCCTCCACCCCCACCCCATCCCTCGCATTTAACATATGACTAGTATATTTATACCCCCCGCTTGAAAAGTGGGAGGGTATATAGGGATTTCCGTCCGTCCATCTGTCTGTCCGTCCATCTATTACGCTTTATCTCTTATCCGCAAATCCTCTTATACTACTGAGTGAAATTTAATAAAACTTTCACAGAATCTTTATTACATATTGCCATTGTGCACCTCCTATTTTACTTTTTTATTCGACACGTATTTTAGGTTTCCCATAGCAAAACATGGACATTGCCATTATATGTTTACTTATGACGTCACATATAGAAGCTTTTGGATAACATTTGATAGGACGAGTTTTTCCTCTTTACACATTACCGTAATTCTTTGATGATGCAAACTTTACATATTTATTCAGTTTACAAACAAGAATGTTGGACAAAAAATGTATGAATTACATCGGTATTTTGAGAAAATTGTCACCGAGCGCAGGTCTGATCAGGCTCAATATTTTGATATAATGTGTATAATGATAATATTAATGAAATATGTAAATATTGTTCCTGAACAAACTTTTAAAGCTAAAATTGTTGAAATTTTGTCCATTTTGTCCTCTTTCTTAAAATGATATAAAATCGGACTAGTTTGTGACGTCATAAAAACGAAAATTGTCAATATTAAAACTACTTTGAAACTATAGTATGTTATGTAAATTTATATTTTTCATACAATTTATAGAATTCAGCATATTTCAAGACTTTTTCAAAATTTGACTTTTGTGGGGGCAAAGATATGCAGTATATCGTATATAGTTCTTAATCATGCAAAGGAAGTTAAAATAGAGAGATGATGTTAATAGAACCTACTTGTTTTACCTGATGTGAAGGCATACTCGAAATCAATCTGAAATATCCTACAACATCCTTTCACAGACACTAACTTAGTTTCAAATTCTTGTTGCTCATCTCTGCAGAGACAAACTTTCTGATTGGTTACCTTGAATACCCATAATGCTCCTTGAGAGAAGTCTAGTATAGGGTAAAATAATTCTAAGTCCACACTTATTCTTGTGCATACCATACTGATCTTCACTTGTGAGTGAGGTAAAATTGAAATATTCACTGATATGTAGCTCATCTTTACTTATCAGTGAAGTATTAACGAAATCCGTTCCTCACTTATACTTACTTTGACTTATAGTACACTTATAAGTAAATTTTAAAATTTATAAGTGACTTATAAATTGCTAATAAGTGGATTATAAAACACTTATAAGTTTCCATTAGTTTTTTCTGTAGGGGACTTCTCAATAATTTTTCACTCATATGGAGACGCCACTTCTCGACGGTGAAGTGCTGATTATTTTGTCCTACACTTAGCACTGGCAACAAAGGCATGCTTAGTCATATTTATAAGGAAGCACCCTCTGATAGTGTAAATTTAAGTTTTTTCTTCAAGTCATGATTCGTAGGGTTAGGGAGGGGCCACAATGAAAGTTCAAACTTGTAGGGAAAAAAGTTAAACTTAGTTACATATGTACAAGATTCCTTTGTTAGGGTAGGTTAAAAATAGTTCAAATCATACTTCCTCTCCCTTTTAGGGCGGGTACTTGTAGATCGGGACCCCCACGTTTGCATTTTAGTTTTAAATAATTTTTGGTTTTTATTTTCCCAAGTCACAACACCCAGGTGAGCAATGTGGCCCCTGGGCCTCTTGTTGGACATAAGTTTGCATTTCTTTAATTTGCATATCTAAAATTTCATTTGCAGTTTTCTTGTCTAGAAAATTTTAGAGATAAAAATTAAACAAAAAATGTATTAATGGGGTAAAATGAATGTCATGAATAGTTATAATAAGCAAGAGTGCCTATTCGAAAAATGTAAATATATTAGCCCTGCCTAGATCAATTTACCAGAATTTAGTATTTTGAACCTTCTGGTAACTTTATTTATTTCTTCTGAAAGAAGTTGTTTCCCTTTGCTATTCACCTATAAATGTAGTTAATACTAAAAATAATGTAACTGAAAAGTTTAATTCAATAACAGATTATATATATTTTTTTTATTATTAAAACAAAAGTACTCTTTAGACCTATAAATGATACATGAATGAAAATGGGACGAAGATACTGTACCTTTTTTCATTATTAAATATTACGTACAATTTAATGAAATTTAAATACCAGGAAAATAAAAAAATGTTAATTTTTTTCAATACTGAAAATCAAGAAAGAAAAAAGAAATCAAATATATTCATAAAATTTCAATTTACATTGTCAAACATAACTCAAGTAACTATGACTACTGTTTTAGTGAATGTGGATGGAAACCGATCCGAAAACAACTCACCAACCCCTACGTCGGAAAGGGACACACCACCATGGTCAAGAAGGAATCACAGTGGGAGCGACACTTCCTCTACCAATTCAGTAAATTCCAGGAGCATGGGAAGGAGGAATATACAAAACGACAGGCCAACTCCTTCATTGAGTCGTGGAAGCACATCGTCCTCTCACTCAATAAAATCCCAGGATGTGACCAACCTTCAAAACAACAGGCCAGCAAATTCACAAAGTCGTGGAAGCACCTCGTCTTCTCACTCAATAAAATCCCAGGATATGACCAACCTTCAAAACAACAGGCAAGAACCTCCACTGAGACGTGGAAGCACCTCGTCTTCTCACTCAATAAAATCCGAGGATATGACCAACCCTCAAAACAACGGGCCAGCACCGCCACTGAGTTGTGGAAGCACCGCATCTTCTCACTCAATAAAATCCCTGGAAATGACCAACCTTCAAAACAAAAGGCCATCACCTCCAATGAGTCGTGGAAGCACCTCGTCCTCTCACTCAATAAAATCCCAGGATATGACCAACCCTCAAAACAACAGGCCAGCAACTATGGATCCTCCACTGACTTGTGGAAGCAGATCCTCATTGTCATCATCCTCCAGTTCCAGGAATCTAAGTAGCAAGTCTCCTCCCTCACCTCAGTTAAGGCACGGTGCTCAGTCAGGTTCGGCTGAATTTTCTGAAGGACACGACCTCCATTACAGCAATTTAGGGAGGTATATAAGAGAAAAATTTCATTGTCAGGAGATTTGTGATATGGCATTCAGGGTTGGGGACAAAATTATTCCTGCCCACAAAATTGTGCTGGCTTCTAGAAGCCCTCTCTTTGCAAATATATTTGAAAAGGAGTCCTTTCGTAAAGAAGCAGTCATCCCAAAAATTATAAACATCCGCGGAGTCTCAGAAGATTCCTTAATGGTCTTCCTTGAGTTTTTATACTCCGGCACAATTACCATCGAAGCAGACACTTTTTCTGATCTTCTCAAACTTGCCCGTGTCTTCAAAGTTAATGAAATAAAAAGGCTGTGCCTGAATTACATTAATGATGCCAATTATGAAGAATTACTGAAGAGGCTTCCCATGGTTAAAGACATAGAGGAAATGGATTGTTTTGCAAAAATGTTAAATGCAATTGGAAAGAACTTTCTTCAAGTTAAAGAATCAAGATCGTTTTTTGAAGTTGATAAGGAAATACTCGCCATGATTTTGGCTCAGGACTGTTTAAATACAAAGTCTGAAATGGATGTATTTACTTCAGTTACTCAAACGTGCTTTTAAGAAATATTCTTTCAAATATCAAAATAAATCAAAATACATTATTTCGTGGATACACCACCACGACTACGAAATCAGAATTCAATATTTAGAAGAACTATTATCTTTTGTGAGGTTTCCTCTTATGTCCCAAGCAGAACTGTTCAGGTGCTTTAAGATATTTCCACCTTTACGTAATAACATGAAAGTTGTTGAGATGATCACCATGGCCAACTGGTAAGTACTGTTAATTTACAATAAAATACAATACAATTTACAATAAAATAATCGGCATACTGTAAAATTTAATATAAATTTCTCCACGGTGTCATAATTTCATAGAATAACAACTTCTGCTCTGTTCGGGTATGATTAGTATATAATCCATTTCCTAGATTGAGAGTTATACATGTATATAAGATATACTTGAAGAATGCAGAGAGGAATTTCGATGGTAACATATTGACACAAGCGTGCAATACATATGAAAGTACCTCATTGAGAACGTTTTCCAATTACTACATAATATATTTGAGAGTTAAGAATAGACTTCTTAATTTGTACATCACAGCAACAGCAGCAATTCATAGTTCATAGAGAAAAAAATTAAGATTTGTTTGTTAAATGATAATTTTCCCATATTATGGCGAAGACATAGTTTCTCAAATAAAACAAAACGTAAGGGTCAAGGTCAATATTGTCAGTATCAAGAAAAAGGTCTAGTACTAACTGTTCAAAAGATATGGACAAGGTTAAAGTTTTTTTTTTTAAGTGGGCCAAACTCTAAGGTCAAGGTCAAGAGGTCAACAATATTTTTAAAAGCAAATGATACATGTAGGCCTTATCACAATGAATGCACAAGTAAAGTATGAAAGCCCTAGCACTAACTATTCAACAGTTATGGCTATATGTTGAAGTTTAGTTTTTTTTTTTTTTTGAAAAAGTGGTTTAAACTCAAAGGTCAAGTCACAAGGAGAAAAACTGTGAAATAGGGAGCAATAGCCTCACCAATTCAAAAGTTATGGACAAGGGTAAACATATTGCTGACAAACAGACTGTGCGACAGACAGATAGACAGGACAAAAAGTGTATTCTTACAAATTTTTGAATACAGGGGCATTAAAATGTATTGATCACACCCTAGGAACCACAATGGGAGAAATTCCTTTATTTGTATGAAATTATTGATCATAATTAAATGTGTCAAAATCATCAAATTTTCATCAAACCGTCAGATCTGTATGTTTGAACAGATTGGGTTAGTTTAAAAACATTTACTCCTTGCATCAGTCTTACTCTATTGAGCGATGTGGCCTATTGGTCTCTTGGTACATTACATTTGGAACTTGAAAAAATACTAATGTAGGAATCAAAAATTGCTAGCAACGAACCTGATTATGGATTACCAAAAGAAAAGATTAGCAGCGAAGAGTATGTAGTTTTTCTCTCTTCAAACAGTGATTGACAAATCATTTTTTGTTGATTTAACAAGGATTCAGACCTCCTATTCATTACATGAGGACGATCCGTTAGAAAACATGCTACCCAGGAAAAGGAATGAGTTAACAAGCAGCCAAAGTGTCAACAGCTACACAAAAGTAAGTTATCATCTTGTAGTGTTCATCCTTTTTTTAAAATTCCATGCATGAATGCCGTTTCAGTTTTTCTAGAATGAATTGTACGAAAGAATCATTTAGTGTATATTCTTTCTTTTTCTTTATGCAATAGACCAATTCTAGTACTGCTGTCAAGAATGAAGTAGAAGTAGAGATGTATCAAATGGATCATAGCATGGCTCAAGATTTCAATGCACATGCGAGATCTTCAACCAGCCATTATTTATGTGCTAGGGTTGAAAAGTACGAATCCCCAAAAAGTAAGTCTAAATCTAACTACATCTATCCGTTTTAACAAGATATCGATAAAAGTATTAATTCATGTATATCTTTTGAAGTATTTTACAAATATAAACTTCAAGTTCGATCTCTAGATGTATAGGCCTTAATAATAATAAATAGATCACTTAAGTTTATTATACCTTTATTGATTTTTTCCCTATATAACATTAAGTCATACTCGTACATGATATATGTGATTATTTCCCTTGAATCAATATAAAAGACTAATTCCCATGCGTTAGTTAATTGAGCAAAATATCCCTGCTTTGAAAGGTAATCCCAAGTTGTCCGTAATCCTTTAGAGTTTACATTTACAATCGTATGATATGTGAATGGACTATCTTTTTTATCCCCTTGTGTTAGTTCAATGAAATAATCCCTGATTTGAAATCACGCTGAATCCTATAAATTTTATGTTTGTATCGGTATAATAAAACAGTTAAAAAGTATACCATTGCGGTAGTAAACAAGATTGCAATTCCTCTTAGCCAGAATTATTTCTCTCGGCTTCACCTCAGGAAATAGTCCTGGCTTTGGGGTCAACTGGAATATTAACTCCTTCATTGATATAATCTAACTGTATAATGATCTTATATGGATTTCATATATTTAGGGAATGTGCATGTATATAGTTTACATATTAAAGGTGGTATTCTTCTCTGGTTTCTGACTACATGAAATATAAAGTTTGATTATATGTCTTATATATTTAGGTGTAGGAGATATAATTAAGACCATAATTTTCTTAATTTGTCACAATTGTACAACTTTAAATAGAATTGGTAAACTTCGTTTGAAAAATATAAGGGACTATATGTTTGGTGGAATGATGGTGTATGGTCTTCTTTTCTGCCTCTCAAAATCATTGTAGAACAATGAATTAAGTTTTAAGTTTTACACAATCAAAGAAATTTTCAAATGTAATTTAAATTAATAATAAGGGACTTGATACATATCTAATAATAAGGGAAGTGAAAACATATCAAATAAATAAGTTTTTTATAAACTAGAACTATGTCGGCTTTTATCACAAAATGCTTCAAATCTAAGAACAGATTTGAGCCAAAAATCAGTAAAAAGTGTTTTTTTTCTCCCTTTGTAAGTAAACGGTAAAAAATTTTGTTTTTGTATCATTTTGAATCTTTGTGACAACTTTATTATGTATGAAAATGAGGAAAATATAATATAGGAAGCATATAAAAATATATCCTAAAAATTTAAGAAATATAGAAAATTCGGATTAGCCAATATCCATTTTAGTTATATTATTTTTATGTCAATTTGGTAATATCTTCTTATAGGCCCTATATGATAGTATCTTTGTATGCAAAAAGAAAAAAAATCTTTTGAAATACAAGTAGGGATCACATGATTGGAAACAGTAATTTTTTATTCTTAATGTCCAGGGAAAAAGTAATGACCTCGACATGACCTTGCCTCTAATATTAAACGGTTAAATATAATCTCAATGATACCATCACTGGATGATATTGTCTTTTTGATTCTGTGAAAACTTCAACGATTTTTAAATACAAGAAACGCCCTCAATGATATACTTTAACTATAAAGTAATGTTTCATGAATTAATGTACATACCTAATTGATCTATTATTTCAATAAATGAGAATTATGAACTATAAAATTGTGAAAAATGACAAGAGAAAAGTCTCTAGCTAGCATTCAATTTATTTATAGAAAAGACATGTTCATGATTTTAAAATTGACTCATTTAACTGATTTTCAAAATTGTAGGCAAAACATTCACACGCAGAAAGATAAAAGACATCAAAAATGAAAACAACAGGTACGTAATGTATACATGTCTTTTTATATGAATAATATGAAACATGCTTTGAAAGTACCAAAGATTGTCAAAGTTAGGCGCATATACACTGTACATGTTGCTCAACATTAGCTACAGAACTGTAGCATTGTGGTTTCATATATTTATCTTTGCCATACTGCTACAGACCCCATCATGGGATCTTTAGAATATAGTTACTTAAGACTAATATAAAAAAAAACTATAATGCTAAAGTTCTGCAGCTAGCTCAACATATGCCGATACATATACGAAAATAAGAAAAAATACACTGGCGTTTGTTGAAAAGATTAGGAATATATGCTTTTCTTTCCTGGGGAATTATCCTGTTAGCTTTTCTTTTGACAGTTGTCCATCTGTTTGTAAACTTTTCACAATTTGGACCTCTTCTCAAAAATTACTGGGCTATTTTCAACTAAACTAAGCACAGATGATTTATGGGTGAGAAAGTTGTAAAAAGGTTAAAATTTTGGCCATTTGAAAGGAATTTTCCAGGGTTTCAGGAAAATTATGCAATTACTGACATTAAAATACATGATTGTACATAGATGAGATGGAAAATTACTTTTTAATCTTAATTGAATCAGATATGCGTTCACCAAGGGTCCAAAGGAAATTAAGCATAATTTAATTAAAATTGGACAGTTTTGATTTCTCAGAAATTCAATAGTCAAAATATGCTAGAAATGATTTTTGTTAGTAAACATTGATTTTAGAATTTAAGCCACTTCCATAAGGTGACATGTAAAGTCCGAAAATTTTTCCCCAAATCCTCTTTGAAGACCTCGACCATAGATATACATGTAAATACATGTCAGACAATATTGATTGTTATGTTTCTTTAACTTTGAAAAAAAAGACAATTTTCAACATGTTTCAAGCAATATAGTTTGTTTGTTCCAACGCAGGCAAGTGAAACTTACTGTTTCAAAAAGGCTTGATGTCCCAAATACTCTTAAACTGCTACGTTGTTTTCTTTTATTTGATACTGCTTTTCTTAATATGTTTTGGTCGATTTCTTGTTAAATTTGCTTTGCCTTGAGGTTTTTGTTCACTCGCATTCATCTTGAAAAGGTACGTATAATTTTTTACCTGTTCTTCTAAAGTCATGCATACATGTATATACAAGAATTTAATAAATTCTATTTATCATACAGTGAAACTTGTATAATCTGGATGCTCTAATTAACCTGATTTCTTGTCTTTTATGATAAAAACTCGTAGTTGCTATCACTTAA